ATCCTCAGCTGACCGCCCCCACACGGCCACGCGGCCCCCTGCGCCACTGACGCTCTTAATGCTTCATTGGATATTGGCCGCTACGCAGGACGTAAACTGTAAAGATGCCTAGTATTTACAAGGCTTAAACAAAATCATTCATAAAATGTCCAAAAACTTGACTTCTTTCTCCTGACAAATTAAGATATAATGCTATTATATTTGACTATTATGTTTAAAACATTTGTACGAAAATGATCCGAATATTCTCTTTGTAACTGACATATTTTTATTTACGTTTTTTTTATAATTACAATGTAATATAATGTCGCTTTTTGTGAAAATTTGCATCTTATAATTGTAAATAAAAAGACTGAATTAGAAGTTCTGTTTTCTTTTCAAAAGCCTTTTGTCGTATTGTACGTTTGGACCGGTATGTATGTTTGTGCGGTGCGCTGCGCCCAGCACCACACATTACCACATAGCACAATCGCAGCAGTTCCCTGCTAGTTATCCGGCTCGTAGGACCATTTTGATTTTAAAGCATGCGTGCAGTTTTTGGTATTACTGAACAAACAAACAAATACTTATAAAAATGAAAGGAAAGATTTTTTAAATAGATATGTGGAGAGTCCAAATAACAGATGTATACGAATAGATATGCTATTGTTCGGAAATTACAGCTTTTGTTCCAAGATAAACGCGCCTTTTCCGCCCTCTCATCGATGTTCGTCAGCGATAGCGATATTCATCATCTCGTCTCAATATTGCGAAAATCAAATCGACAGACAAAGACCACGGTTCCTCGGTTTATAGCCTGTCCATCTGTAGAGGTCGATGCCAAATAAAATGTCAGCTGTAACAGTTGACATTTGTCGTTGTGAAGATATCGATTCATTCATTTCGTGAATTCTACCAATTATTCTATTCAGATAAATGTGATAAGAGTTTAAGATTGACAATAAATAAAGAAAGGTGTTTTCATTAAATTTTGTTACATATAATATGCATATAAATTAGTCAATGTGGGTTTAAGTTAATGCTAACAAGTGTGTGATAGTGCTTCGTAAAAATGTTGTGAACAGTAGTTTAATACAAACTGCATAGAACCAGCGCAATGGCAGCGGACACCGCAGTCGCACCTACTCCCGAGGAGACCCTGGAGTCACTACTTCGTGAGGCAGAGGCTTTGAAACAAAAATTAGAGGAGGAGCGACAAAAGCTTAACGATGTGACATGTAAATTTTTATGTTACAAATGTAGCGGCTGTTGTTTTTACCAAGGATAAATGCAATTGACTATCGATTTATAAAAAAAACTTAGAAGTAGCCTATGTGTTCTTCCAGACTATGTTGTGCGTCTGTGCCAAATATCAAGATCCATGCAGCAGTTTAGGCTACAAACATCCATCCATTTACCTAACCATTCGCATTTATAATTAGTAAGATTAGCTTAACTTATCATGTAACATGATGTTTTATTGATATTACAGGAAAACTTTATGTGGCATTGCATCTATTGCCTCAAAAACTACAACATGTCAAAGCAAAGAATAGTTTCATTTACAATTAAAACCTTGTATTTGAGGTTTGATTAGATAGACTCTTTTTCAGGTGTTTATTGAACACCACAATAAAGTTTCATAGAAATAAAAGCATAAGTTAGAAAAAAGAGTAATATTTTTTTCCTTATATATATGTACCATGCACATTGATGAATGATGGATATGCCACAGGAAAGACTATTGGGTGATGTCACACCATGTCAACATGGGCCGATAATGAACATGTCAGATTATGATGATGTTTGGAGTCAGTTGATTTGCTTGGGACGTGGCCCTGCCACTTTGTGGAGTTATAGGACCTTATTACCTATTTGATTTTAAAAGCAAAGTATGTTGCCTATTGCCTAATAATTGGGCTTGTTTAAGAAAAAAATGACCTCCATTAACAAATTATTTTGGCACACAGGTAAATTTTAGTCGAAAACCTGAGTATTACAATTTTTTCACAAAAAATTTAATAACTTTAAAACTATGGAAAATCAGGCAACATACTTTGTGCTTTAACAATAGCTATTGCGATCATCTAACACCACAAAGCCATTGATCCATCTATTAAGATTCACTCTGTACAGCTTTAGCTACTTTAAACAAAACATACTGAGAACACGACAAAATTAACATGTATTTTGACACAAGCAGTTACTTGCAAACCTCATTAGTGTGTAATTAAAAAAATGGTGGTCTATAATATTCCCGCTCGCATTTACCTTCTACCAGCAATCTTACAATCAAAGTCCCGTCAAAATCGGCCCAGCCGTTTTGGATACAGCTCGGAACAAATGTGGCTTGAGAACAGACAGACAGAAAAAAAATGCGATTTTGTTAACTCACACTTTACAAGTTATTCACTGATGAATAAGGAAGTAAAATACAGTTAATAAATAAGTAACTTAATATATACATGTTGGTGAGAGAAGTGTGGTTGTGTGCAGTGATGTCTGTGGCGGAGCGGCTGGAGCCCGTCAACTTCCCCAATGTGAAGCTGCGGCGCGTGCTGAAGGGCCACCAGTCCAAAGTCCTCTGTGCAGACTGGTCACCGGATAAACGCCACATTGTTTCCTCTTCCCAGGTACTTCTACAGCCATACATTCTCCCTTCACAGCAGTGTCATCTATGCTAAGTGATTCAGTTTGTCTCTCATGCTGTTTATTTCAATGTTTTCAGGATGGTAAGATCATCGTGTGGGACGCGTTCACCGCGACCAAGGAGACAACGATCTCGATGCCGAGCACGTGGGTGATGGCCTGCGCCTACGCGCCCTCCGGCAACATGGTGGCCGCCGGGTGAGCGATGCACACACAACTAATTAAAACACATCCAGGTCAAAATATTATACAATGTCTAAATCTAAATGTCTCATTTTATTTGTTACTAGCTGGTACTCGTGACTGCGCCCGCGTGAAATTAAAATAATAATCAAAAACATAGCCTATGTTACTCACAGACAAAAGACCTTTCTAATGATGAAAGAATTTTTGAAATTGGCCCAGTAGTTTTTGAGTTATTTCAATACATACAAAAATACAAATCTTTCCTCTTTATAATATTAGTACAGACAATTAAGTTGTTTTGCAGATACGTAGTAACAAATATTTATCAAACCGTTCAAACTTTTACATTTGTAGTTGCGTGTTTTAAACAGTAGGGCAACAAAGAATATGAATAGTGAGGTATAGCACTCACACCATGAGCCTCATGAGTGAGGCAGATGTTAATGATGTCAGGGGCCTGGACAACAAGGTGACGGTGTTCCCGCTGGGCGGCGACGAGGAGGGCGGGGGC